TTACCAAATGTGACCAATATGTTCTAGGTACTTTTACTGAGAGCTGGGCTATTGAGATGAAATAAGATGGCTCCTTCCCTTAATGAGCTTGTATTCTAATAGAAGGTATGATATGTCCAGAAATAACTAACAAAAAGCAGCAGGTGAGGGACAGCTAGGTAGCGCAGTGGATAGAGCTCTGACCTTGGGAGTCAGGAGGACCTGAGTCCAAATCCGGCCTCAGACACTTGCTGCTTACTAGCAGTGTGACCCTGGTCACTTAACCCTAGTTGCCTAAGCAAAAAAAAAAAAAAAAAGCAATAGGTGATAGATGCAATGGCGGGGAAGGGGGGGAAGAGCAAATGATTTGCTATGTGCCGGGAATTATGATAAATGCTTTACAAATATTCTCTCTTTTGCCCTTCACAACCACCCCATGATTTAGGTGCTATTATTATCTCCATTTTGCAGTTGAGGAAACTGAGGCAAACAAAGGTTAAGTGACTTGCCCCAAGTTGAATAGCTTAGTAAGTGTCTGAGACTGGATTTGAATGCAGGTGTTCCTGACTCCAGGTCCACTGTGTCATGTGGCTGCCTCTCTTTGGAGATATCCAAAGTGCTAAGACAATTTGAGGAGGGGTACTTTTTCCATCATTCATATTTCTTTGACTCAGTTTTTATCCTTCCAGTCTGAGATGATTGCTAGGATAAATAATAAATAAAATGTTTGTAAAACACTTTGTAATTCTCCAGTGCTTTTGAGAATTTTTTAAAAACAGAGATAATGATATTCTTTCCCAAAATATTTGTACATTTGTAACTCCTCCTAATGACAGCTCAGGCAGGGGCTCCTGATTTGGGCAAGAAACCAACTATCTAATATAATTTGTACTATTTAATATTTTTAGTGTGAATTATCTTCTGGCAAATTGTCATCAGGAGAGTTAATGAAATATTACCAAAATCTATTACAAGCAGGAAATAATCAGATGCCTTATGCCATTGATTCTTTTGCTTTTTAATCTTAAAGTTTACTATATGTTGACTTGATATATACATAGAACCAGGGAATGAACAAGACATGAACACAGCTGCCATTGCTGATTTCTGCTGGCCAATTGTGAGTCAGAACTTGAGAGCTTTGGGACTCATGAGGCTCTTGGGCACTTTTGGTGACTCAGTGTGGAAGAACACTTTGAGGACTGATGAAGCTTTTATTTGTTATGAAGTCACCAACAGTTATTGGTAACTGAGAAGATCAGATAACTTGATGGGCCTTTAAAAATTGAATAACTCTCTCATTTCCTTCTCTTTCTTTGAGCCTCCAGACAGCATCATGTAGTCCTGGGACTTCTCATGAGGGTTGGGAAGAAGGTTAGTTCATCCTGTTTCTCCCTCTGGCTAACATGAGGCCATGAACTCATGACAGCTAAAGCCTGTGTTCTTCCTAAGTGAGCCTGATCCTGGGTTTTAGGCTGTTTTGTTCTTTCCTGCTCTCAGGTGAAAGAGTGATGATCCTGAGATGGATGTATCTAGGCTTGGCTGCTACTTTGTGAGTTTGACATATTCAGTGATTTTGGGTCCTTTGATTGAAGCCAATTGGCAACAAGGCGTGGAGTCCCTGGAAATTATGCCATTTCTCTTAGAGAAGGTGGCCAATGATAGGAGGGCCAACCCATTTCTTAGCTGGGAGCCAGATTCATCCCCTTGCCAGTGGTCATCTTCTCTAGAAGGGCTGGAGTAGTTGACCAAAGCTTGACCTTAACTTGACCAGAGCATGTAGGACCACTTAAGCTAACCTCTTGAACTCAACACAGCCATCTTAAAATCAATAAGGGAATGGCTTTCTTATTCACAAAATCACAGATCTTTAGATCTGAGTCACTGGAAGCAGCTAGGGGATTCATCAAGCCCCAGTTACCCAAGGAATGAGTCACACATGGCTAACAGGAATCAGGAATGGCAGCTCTGAGCATATTTGGTTCACATCATTCCTCCTAGCCCGCATGTATATAGGTATGCATGTATCTGTCTATCTATCTATCTATCTATCTATCTATCTATCTATCTATCTATCTATCTACCAATCATCTGTCTATCTAAATAACTCACAAAGTAGCCACCAAGCCTGAAATACATCCATCTCAGGATCATTCCTCTTTCACCTAAAATCAGGATGAAACAAATACAAAATAATCAGCCTAAAAACCCACGATCAGGCTCATTTAGTCAGGGCATAGACTTTAGTTGTCATGTGTTCATGGCCTCATGTTGTCCAAGGTGAGAAACAGGGTGAACTGCTCTTCCTCCTAACCTTCATGGGAAGTGTCAAGGCTGCTTGATGCTATCTGGAGGCTCAAAGAAAGAGAAGGGAAAGGAGGGAGTCATTTCCTTTTAAAATAGATTTGCTTTTTATAGATAGATAGATAGATAGATAGATCGATAAATAGGCAGACATTTAGGTAGATAGTCAATACATACACATAACATTGCTTGCAGTTGAAAATTTTTGAAGTTTTAGAAATTTTTATTCCTTCTTACCTTTTGTTTATAACTTAACATTTCAGATAATTTTTGTCTGCTTACTAGTTATGGGATTTTGGGCAAGTCTCCTTCCTTTCATGTACTATTACTATTCCTGGAACTTGCCCTATTCTTTTCTGTTTCTATGTTTATGATTATAACATCTCCCATGGGTGGTGTCATCTTTTCTTTTAACCCACCCAACCCTTCCTGCACCTTTCCTGAACTGCATGCCACACCTTGCCCCTGTGCTGAAATACAATACAACTTTCAAGACACAGCTCTGTCTAATGACATCTTCTTCCATGAAAAATTTCCCCATGCCCACAGTTTCAAAGTTGTCTTAAAAGCTACTTATGACTTTTATACTTCTAGGAACTTCTATTCTGTCATTACAGTGTCATCTCTACTACTAGGCTATGAACTTGAGAACAATTAGTAATAGAATTGTACTCACATTTCCCTGTGCCTATACTGCCCTTTGTCCATCTCTATTCCTACCAAATCTTGTGGCATTTATCATGTTAATTTTTGTTATAGTTATTTATTATTTATTAGGCTGAATCTTTGAACCTTTTCCCAGGTCTAGTACAGTGAGTATTCTCTACAACGTAGATAATAGATAAAGATTTGTTGAATTGAGTCCTGGAATATTAGAGCTCAAAGGATTTAAAAAACATAATCTTGAAACAATCATTGGGAAAATACTGATAATTCTTGACTTTGTTATTGTTCAGTCATGTCTGACTCCTTGTGACCCATTTGGGGTTTTCTTGGCAAAGATACTGGAGTGGTTTGCCATTTTCTTTTCCAGCTCATTTTACATATGAGGAAACTGATACAAACAGTGTTAAATAACTTGCCCAGGGTCACACAGCTAGTAAGTATCTGAGGCCAGATTTGAACTGAAGAAGATGAGTCTTCCTGACTCCAGGCCCAACACTCTATCCACTGTGCCACCCAGCTGCAACAACTCTTAGCTACTGCTGAATTTTAGCTGTGTTTTGCCTCAGATGAAGGAAGAATATGAGACAACCTCTGTCCTGTATTTCTGGTGAAGAGTAATTGAGGGTTAAGTTTTGAAAAATAAAATAAGCTATTGGCAGAATTAGTAGAATGCATCTCTTCCAGTAGAATGTAAGCTTCCTAAAGGCAGGATTTGTTTTCATTTTTGCCTTTCTGTTCCCAGCACTTAGAATGATTCCTGGAACCATAAGTGCTTAATCCATGCTTATTCTTCAATAGAGTTCAGTTGAATTGAATATAGTCATAGTGTCATAGATTTAGAACTAGAAATGAGCTTAGAGGTCATCTAGTCCAATTCCCTCATTTCATAGTTGAGGAAATTGTGGCCCAGATAAGTTGACTTGACCAAGGTTGTGAAGCAAAATAAAGACTCTCAGGTATCCTTACTTTTAAGCCTATGTTAATTTCATACTACAGTACAGTCTTATTTTCACTTTTTTTTTAAAAAAAGGATTATAGTTGAGTAAATTGTCAGAATTGTGGCAATAAAGAATCTAATTAAACTGGATTGTAAGTTTTAGTTTGCATTTCATTTATTTAACTCATTATATTTTATATATACCAGCAGTAGTTTCCCTAACCAAAATATGTTAGAATATTGCTAACCATTGATTTTTTTAAAATCACAAATATCATTGATAAACATCTTCTTTAGGTCTTACTAGCCTAGAGGAGAGGGTTGCACAAAATATTTAGAAAGTAAAGCAATAAAATAGTCTTCCTCCACAACAATGACTTAGGTCTGTTCTTTTGGCATTAGGAGAGAATCCTCTTTAGAAGGATTCATTTAGAAGGATTTTTCTAGGATAAACAGCTATTAAAATTATATCTCCTCAGTTTCAAAAAATTTTTAAAGAACAGAATCTTCTTTTGGGGTTAATGGCCAAATCCGGAAGAAATTGTCCATTTTGGGGGGAAGATATTATTTACTATGATAGAAGCACAAGAAAAGAGTTCTCTGAATTTCTGTTTGGCTATCTTATTCCCTTCATGAATAAATGCTATTTGCTGAAATCGATAGTGCTATCTGGATAAAATAAATGAATTGTGATGAAAAAGATGCATGTTATTGAAAAAACAGGACACTGCAATTCACATATTTTGGTAAAGTCCAAGAGTTCCTTCAAGGCATACAGACTAAACAAGTCACTATTTCTTTTCAAGGATCAAAATGGATTTTTCAATTATTAAGGAAATAAAGTATGTTACAAATTTCAGCAGCTTCTGTTATTTTCTACTGTGATTTGGAAATTGCCAAAAAAATTCTTTTATTATTCCTTTAAAAAACCCAAAACAAATGTTCATTAAAAATATTAGACTTGGGAATGCCCGAGAATTCCTTTATTGTGAACACAGTTCTTCTGATGGGAGAAAAAAAAAAGAATTGACATTTCAATTTAGGTTGTCTTCTTTCAATATATACCTCTGTTGTCTTCACATTGAACAATGATGATTATGATTTATTTTCTCAGATGAAATTTTCAGAAAGTGATTATTTCGGCAATGTCCTGCAAACTCGCAAGTATTTAGCACAATCTGATTTCTTCTGGCTAAGAAAAGAAGTTCCAAAAACAGAGTGAGTAAAAAAAATGTGTATATATGTATATAAAACACACATACATAAACTATATATAGATTAAAATGGATAAATAGATGGGTGGGAAGAGACAGAAGAAAACAATGGCTAAAACTGTGACCTTTAAGACTGAAAATGTATGGGAGCAATTTTTTACAGTACAGTAAAAGCTGAATTGATGATATTTTACACCAAAGCTCCAGAAACTAGCATTTTTGTTATTTTTAAAAAACCTGCTGGCTTAATAATCACATGCAATATTATTGACACATTTTGAAAGATTAAAAAGCAGATATTAAAGTTGTCTCTGATTTTAGCTAAGCAGAATCAACCAAGAGGGGAAAGTAAGATCTTTCTCCCAATCTGTCAAGTAAAAAGATTCAAAAGACCTTGAGAAATAATTTTAAAAAAAGTTGAAAAAATAAGAATTAAACAAATAGGGTTGGAGGTGATGCTGGAAAATAGTAGAACATTGGAAAGGATTTATGAATTTCAAGGAAGTGATCAAGATGTTGTTAGAGTTACTTCTGATTGTAATGCCTTTCTCCTTTCCATAGCTTCTGCCCTCCTTGACCTCTATCACTTTGAAAAGTGGCAGGAAGCATATATTACTTTCTGAATGGGTTGGACTAGATGTCTCCTGAGGTCCTTTATAAGTCAAAAATACTGTGATTTGGTGATAAGGGGGCACCTAGATCAGAAGATCTTTTCCTCAGGACCAGGCTGATTTTTCAGTTTTGATCACTAAGTGCTAAACTTATCCTTTAACATTCTATATCCATTCTTGCTACCACCATTGAGATCTGTCTGTCCCCCTCAACACTGATTGATTTCCTGGTTTTTAGTCCCTAAGTTATGTTCCTTACTACTGATCTCCCCCATCAGATTGTGAGCTCCTTGTGGGCAGGGACTGTCTTTTGTTTCTTTTAGTATTTTCATCACTTAGCACATTGTCTGACCCATAGTAGGCACTTAATAAGTGTTGATTGATACCTTTGGACTCCAGGCCTTCTGTCCTGATTCTCTGGCTTCCAAATGTCAACTTAGGGTCCTTTAATCTTTGTTTTGCTCACCTATGCCTAGATGTCTGCCTGATTCTGCTAGCTATTTTTGGCCCCTTTTTATGATACCTCTCAATACTGACAAAAACATATGAAATAATTTTGCCTAGATCATATGGGGAACAGAATAAATTTAGAGGTTGAATAATTTTTCTCCCCATAGTTCAAAACTGTGGTTTGTATAGATTGTAAGCAAAAAAGTAGTTTCACAAATTCTTGAAAAGTAGGAGATAAATGGATTAAAAACTTATCCTTTGCTAAAACTGGCCTCTTTTCCCCATTGTCCATCCTTGGTTCCTTCATTGTAGTATCTCTGTCTTGGGTTGAGTCCTTCTCTTCCTCCACCTTTACCCCACCAAAATGATCCAGAGGTAACTTCAGATTTACATTTCTATTAGTAATATTTCCATGCCTGATTAGGCTTAAAAACTACAGTAGTTCTTGGTAGCTTGTAGTATTCCACCATAATATCTTAGAGAACCAAATCTTTTTGATTCACTAGGCATTTCCTTTGTCTAATATGCTACATAATAAAAGCTTTTTACATTATTTAATTTCATTGTCTTTACAAATGTTATTTGTAAAGGAAATGGAAGCAATTTCTCATATAGTTAACCATACCTCCATATGGCAGACAGTAGGCTTTACCTTAAAAATGATGGGTAAGGGCATATTGGTTATTAGGAGGTATATTCGTGCTTACTTAGCATTTGATGATATGAAGACATAATTATATTCTGGAGGTGAAATTTATTTTTCTTAATTTGCTTCTTTCTTCAGAGCTTTGGTTTCTTATTTGTCTTTTGTGTATGTCTGAATCTTTCCTTCTGGCTTAGGAGGGTACACCAATGTTAAATGAGAGAAAACACTTTGTTCTGCTTCCTTCCAGATCCTCTGCTCAAAATTGGCCTATTTACTGGTTTAGACAGTGAATCACCAATCCTGAGCAGACAGCCCCAGAATGTCATTCATTTCTGAGACATCTGTCTAGAACTGACATAGGTGAAGCCTGCAGAATCATTCTGTTTATAGAGGGAATACCCTGGGGTATTGGTGGCTATCTCACTCTCCTGTGTATATTGGGTATGGAGTTAGGAGGGATATCCAGGGTCTTTCCATCCCTGCAATAAAGCCTTGAATGTTTACGTGAACCAGTGTCCAATCCCAGAGGTCAGGGAATCAGGTATGTCAGTTGTGCGTTTTTAAGTGAAAAATAAACAGAAGTAGATTGAGAATGCTGAAGGGGGTTGCTTAATTATTTTTATCAATGGCTTGGTGTAAAAGGGGTGGAGAAAAGGAGGTCCAGATCAAACTGAGAGTTCTCCAGTCAACATAATGAGAGTGGGTAACTTTCTTTTACATGCCAGAGAGATAGCTGATGCTCACTTAGCCAGGCATTAAGACTTCCTTCTGCCCTGTTGCTTCTAAACAATGGGTCACATCCTATAATGTTTTAAATTTTCAATAAAAATGATCAGTCTATTGGTGTGTGCATGTGAAGACTACAAAAACTGCTAAGTATGTCATATGACATAATTTGAAGACACTGATGAAATATCAGTTCCCAATATTCCTTAAATTGTGATATAAACTTCAGTATATTTATATTTCTATTAAGAAATATATGAGTTTTCTTCTCTTTAAAATCGTTATAATACTGCTTGAAATACCTACCTCACAGTCTTCTTGGTAGTAAAAGCACTATACCAAGCACAAAGTTATTCACAGTGAGCTATTGTTATTTTAATTTAAATATTTTATTAAAAGCTTAATATTGAACAGCTAACTAAACTTGTTCAGTAACTGTATACATGTAGCTAAACTACTTTTCAGGAATAAAATATTAAAATAATTTTTTTTTACTAGTTTTTTTCCTACTTAGGATTCTTTGCCCCTTCAGGCTCATTGACTTTTCCTTTCATATGGTTATAGTGTGTATTCCATTTTCTGACTCTGCTTTTCTTTCTTTCTTTTTCATTCGCATTATTTTATAATGATCTTTCCAGATTTCTTTGTATTTCTGGTACCAATGGGTCTCATAGCATTCAATTATATTTTAGACCAGACTTGTAATTAAATCAGAATAGGGAACTCAGAGGGAGGAGCTTTCCTCCAAGGTACACCTGAAATTGTTCTCCGACTTAGAGTAATCTTAGATAGTTGCAAGGGGCACTGAAAAGTTGTGACTTGCTAGGGATACCAGTTAGTATGTGTCAGAGTCAGGACTTCAACCTAGGCTCTTCATGACTCAGGGGTTGATTCTCTATTATGTTATTTCCTTCCTTCCATATTTCCTTCCATTATGTTAATGTGCTGCAAATAATTTAGCCTTTTCCCTGTTTTTGGACATTTAGATTAATTTTAGTTTTATTTTATTTTGCAATTACATAAAATACTATTTTAAGATTCTTAGAAGAGATAACTTTTTGTCTTTTTTTGGGGGGGAGGGTGAGTCAATTGGAGTTAAGTGACTTGCCTAGGGTCAGACATCTAGTAAGTGTCAAGTGTCTGAGGTCAGATTTGAACTCAAGTCCTCTTGACTCCAGGGTTGGTGTTCTATTCACTGTGCTACCCAGCTGCCTCTTTTGTCATTCTTGATAACATTTTCAGAGTATCTTTTTCCACAATGAGGTTATTGGGTAGTGATGATTATTTTTACTAATGTTCTTATGATTGCCTTTCTTCAAAAACTCCAGAGCTGATAACCAAAGGCAATTAACCTAAGCTTGACTCCCCCTTTGAAATGTGTTCATAATCAAATTACTTGATTTGCTTCAGGTTACTCATCTGCAAAATGGGATAAACATTGACTTGACCATGGTCTTAGGTGTATTGCTCTTATAAACAAGAACGTTTTGTTCTGGGAGGTTCTGTATCTTAGAGCTCTATAGCGATGTGGCTATATCCTGTTGTCTTAGAGATAGGCACATCCAGTGAAAGTAGCATTAGGTTGTTGGGGGCTTTCTCTGCACAGTAACCAGATAGTACTGTAAAGTTTTTTTTTTCTGGATATTACCAACTGTTACCTTTTCAGAGGTATTGCATGGGGTTTTAGCTTTATGATGCCCATTGACTTTAATAGGCATCTTAGGGCTTTGAAAATGCATGAGTTAATTGAGTGGGGATGATTCTGAAATATCTTCTCTATAACAGTTTACTTTGAACAGTGCATCATAATTCTATATTTCCTTTAACCCAACACGAATGCTTGTAAAGCATTGAAGTAACATTTTGCTTCTTTGTGGGCATGGGAGATAAACACCCTTCATCTTTCATTCTCTTGGAATCCATTTTAGCTGCACTAATGTGCATTGAAGAGGTCCCTCACACAGTAGGAAATGTGAGCAAGAAAGAAATTAATTGGCAGGTTATCCTTGAAAGATATACATTTAGGGTCCTATCCTCCAAATTGTCACATTACCAGCAGGCTTAAAAATAAAGGATTTACCCCATTGCTCAGCAGGTCAGAATGTAATTTCTCTCCCTCATCTCATCATTTCCTTTTTCAGCAATTACTTTAAAGCGGTTTTGCTATTAACTCATTCTCACTTCTATTATAACAAAACATTTTTGGACTCAGTTCCTTTACCCTTTAAAATATGGCTACAAATAGATCAAATCCCCATTGAAAAGAATCTTTTCATTTTCTTGAGTTTTCACTTATTTGGTATTATATTTTCTCACACAGTATATGAAAAATAGAGTTTATGATGTATTTGTTGCTGGCATATTGGTCAGGAAATTTTTTAGGAACAATAATGAAAACAGTTCGCATTTACGCAAAACCTTACAGTTTTAAAATGAAGTTCTTCATTTGTGTCTTTAGGGGTGTGGGGTGGGCACTTCAATATAGGCTCAAGGTTAAGTCTAGGCTATTGGTTCATGGATTCCCCAGTGCCCTACTCCATTGTTCCTTTATGGTAAACAGCTACTCAGCAT